GTATTAGTGCACGAAAACTTAACAACCAAATGCAGAAAAGCAGAAATATTAAATACATCCTTTTCCAACCATAATGCAATAAAGGTCATGATAACAGATTAAAAAGTATTTGGAAGCTAAATAATCCTAAAAAATGAATAACAGATCATAGAAACCATAATAATTTCATTAAAGAGAATGACAACAGTGAGACAACATACCAAAATTTATGGGATGCAGCCAAAGTAGTACTTAGGGGAAATTGTGTATCTCTAATTGCTTCCATCAGTAAAATGGAGAAAGATCAGATCAATGAAGTGGGCACACAACAATAAATGAATGAATGAATGAATGAACGAATGAATAATTTCCATCAAAGGAGAGATTAATGAAATTAAAAATAAGAAAACCGTTGAACTAATAAAACTTTTTGTGAAAAAACAAACAATAAAATATATAAACCATTGGTTAATTTGATTTAAAAGAAGAAAGGAGAAAGCCAAGTTACCAGAATCAAAAATGAAAAGTATGAATTCACCACCAATGAAGATGAAATGAAAGCAATTATTAGGAACTTTTGCCCAATTATATGCCAACCAATCTAAGTGAAATGGATGAATTTTTGCAAAAATATAAATTGCCCAAATTAACAGAACAGAGAATAGAATACATAAATAATCCTATCTTAGGAAAAGAAATCCAGCAAGCCATGAATGAACCAAGAAAAAATCCTCAGGACCAGATGGACTCATAAGTGAATTCTACCAAATATAAAAAAATTAATTCCAATACTATACAAACTATTTGGAAAAATAGATGAAGTTGCAAATATTGTACTAATGCCTAAATCAGGAAGAGCTAAAACAGAGAAAGAAAACAATATGCCAATTTCTCTAATGAATATTGATGCAAAAATTTTAAATGAAATACTGGCAGGGAGATTGCAGTGATATATCACAAAGATTGAATGCAGGCTGATTCAATTTTAGGAATACTATCAACATAAGTGAGCAGATCCGTAACAACAACAAAAATCATGTGATTGTCTTGATAGATGCAGAAAAAGCTTTTGACAAAATACAACATTCATTCTTATGAAAAAACTAGAAAGCAGAGGAATAAATGGAGCTTTCCTTAAAATGGTAAATAGTATTTATCTAAAATCATCAGCAAGCATTATCTGTAATGAGGATTAGCTAGAAGCCTTCCCAGTAAGATGAGGGGTGAAGCAAGGGTATCCATTATCACCACTATTATTCAATATTGTACTATAAATGCTAGCTATTAACAGTAAGAGAAGATAAAGAAATTAGAATATGCAAAGAGGAAACTATCACTATGCAGATGATATGATGATATACTTAAAGATGATATGATGGTATACTTACAGAATCAAATAAAAAAACTAGTTAAAATAATTAACAATTTGAGCAAAATTGCCAGATATAAAATAAATACACATAAATCATCAACATTTCTATGTGTTACCAACAAAGTACAGCAGGAATACATAGAAAGAGAAATTCATAACTACAGACAATATAAAATACTTGAAAGTCTACCTGCCAAGACAGACTTAGGAACTATATGAACACAATTTCAAAACACTTCATACAAATAAAGTCAGATCTAAGCAATTGGAGAAATATTAATTGTTCTTAGGTAGACTGATCCAAGCTAGTAATCATCAAAATAATCTGGTACTGGCTGAGAAATAGAATGTTAGACCAATGGAACAGATTAGTACCCAATACAGAGTAGTAAATAACCATAGTAATCTAGTGTTTGATAAATCCAAAGATCCAAGCTTTTGTAACAAGAACCCACTATTTGACAAAAATTGCTGGGGTAACTGGAAAGCAGTTTTGGCAGAAACTAGGTATAGAACTAGTGGGACAGCTAGGTAGTACAGTGGATAGAGCACTGGGTTTGGAATAAGGAAGAATTATCTCCCCAAGTTCAAATCCGGCCTCAGACACCTACTAGCTATATCACTCTGGACAGCTCATTTAAGCTTATTTGCTTCAATTTCCTCATCTGTAAAATGAACTTGAGAAGGAAATGGCAAACCCCTCCAGTATCTTCACCAAGAAAACCCCAAATGGGGTCATGAAGAGTCAGACACAACTGAAAAATGGCTGAACAACAAGGGACAGACCAACATCTTGCACTGTATACTGAAATAAGGTCAAAATGGGCGCATGATTTATACATAAATGGTGACATCATAAGCAAATTAGGGGAGCTAGAAATATTTTACCAGTGAAATATATGGATAAGAAAAGAATTTATGACCAAACAAGAGATAGAGAGCATTATGGGAGGTAAAATGGATAATTTTGATTGTCGTTTTGTCATTTTCAATCATGTCCAACCCTTCATCATGCCTTCTGGGGTTTTCTTGGCAACAGGAGTGGTTTGCCATTCCCTTCTCCAGCTCATTTTACAGATGAGGAACTGAGGCATACAGGTTAAGTGATGTGCCCTAGGTCACACAGCTAGTAAGTGTCTGAGGTCAAATTTGAACTCAGGTCTTCCTGACTCCAAAGCCAGCACTGTATCTACTGTGCTACCTACGTGCCCCATGATTTTTATTACATTAAGGTAAAAAGTTTTTGCACAAAACCAATGCTGGCAATATTAGAAGGAAAATACAAAACTGGGAGATGGTAATTAGAGCAAATTCCTCTGACAAAAGCCTCATTTCTCAAATATTTAGAGAACTGAATCAAATTTATATGCATACAATTCATTGCCCAATTGATAAATGGTCAAAGGGTATGAATAGGCAGTTTTGGGGGAAGAAGAAATGAAAGCTATAGTGATATGAAAAAAATGTTCTAATCACTATTGATTAGAGAAATTGCAAATTAAAACAACTCCAAGGGATCACTTCACACCTGTCAGATTATTTAATATGACAGAAAATGAAAATGACAAATGTTAGAGGGGACATGGAAAAATTGGAACATCATTGGTGGAGTTGGGAACTGATCCAACCATTGTGGAGAGCAATTTAGAACCATGCCCAAAGAGCCATAAAACTGTGCATACACTTTGACCCAGCAATACCACTATTAGGTCTGTATCTGAAAGAGATTAAAAAAAGATCCATATGTACAAAACTATAGCAGCAATTTCCCTCACTTAATAGCATTAAAATTTTTTCCCAATTATATGTAAAGATGGTTTTCAACATTTATTTTTATAAGATTTTGAGTTCCAAATTTTTCTTCTTCTCTCTCATGGGAATATGGGATATTATATGGCAGCAATTTTTGTGGTGGCAAAGAATTGGAAATCAAGATGTCAATTGAGAAATGGCTGAACAACTTGTAGTATGTCATTATGATGGAATACTATTGGACTACAAGAAAAGATGAGCAGGATGCTTCAGAAAAACCTGGGAACACATATCAACTAATGCAAAGTGAAGTGAGCAGAACAAGGAGAACATTGTACACAGTAACATCAATATTGTATGATGATCAACTGTGAATGACTAAGCTATTCTCAGCTACACAATGATCCAAGACAATTCCAAAGGACTCATGATGAAAAATGCTATCCCCCACAAAAGAAAGAACTGATGGAGTCAATGCAGATCAAAGCATACTTAAAAATTTTATTTTTTTTTTATTTTTGTCTGTTTTCTTTTGCAACATGGCTAATGTGGAAGTATGTTTTGCATGACTACACATATATAAACTACATAAAATTGCTTACCTTTTAAAGGAGGGGAAAAGGGCAAAAGGGAGAGAGGGAATTTTGAACTCAAAATTTTTTAAAAAATGAGTGTTAAAATTTTTTATATGTAATTGAGAAAAAATAAAACAAGAAAAAAGAATACTTGATAAATTATAGAGGAGATGCAATTGGTGTTGGAGTAGGAAGTAACTGTAGGGAGACAATTACAACTGCTTGAAGTGGTGAAGCATTGGTTCTCAGAGAACAGGTCAGGTGGGAAGGACAGGTGAAATATTTTTGCTACAGGCAGATAAAATGCCATATAAGCAAAGGAATATGAAGTGAGGGAGAGAAGGGGCAATTGCCCCAAGTCTGAATAAGTTCACACACACACACACACACACACACACACACACACACACACACACACACAGACACACACAGGCACATATATTTTAAAAATTCCATTTAATAGAATAAAAGAAATATTTCAAAATAATCTTTTTCAGATTTTTTCAAAAGGCAAGGGTGGGGAGAAAACAGGAGTGTTGTGGTCCCTTCTTCCCCAAATTATGTCAGTACAACGTGCAACATTTTTAGACAGTTATTTTTGGCGCTCAGACTGAGGGGATGAGGAAGGAGTGTGGGTGAGGATGAAGGAAGAAAGAGCCCTGGAGAACTCCAAATCCCTTTGCAGCACAAATCTGCATTAACCAGAGTTTTCAAGCAGAGTTTACATCTGCATGAGAGCCAATCAAGGATCTTTCTGTTCACATGAAATCTCTGTTCTCTATCCTACTGACTGGATGTAAAATAAGCCCCAAAACAATTTGGTCAAGCAGAAGTTTTTGCTTTATCAAACTGAAACCTGTCACTTGCATGTTAAGTACTTAGACTGTTTAACTTACTGTGTATTTATTAGTAGTCTCATAAATATGTTCTTTTGTTCATACTATTCATGAAACCATAGATACAGAGGTGGAAATGAGTGAATGAATGAATGAAGTATTCATTACAAACTTACATTGTCCTTAAGCCCCTAGGGATACAAAATAGAACCTCACCAGGCTCTCTGCCTTTGCATCACTTACCCCCATGCCTAGAAGGCACTCGATCTTTACCTCTGCTTTGTAGAGTTCCTAGGTCAAGCCTCAGTTCATGTATCACCTCCTAAACAAGTCTTGTTCTGATTCTTTCAATTGGTAGTGCCCCACTGAAATTACTATATGTATATATGTTGTTTCATGCTTTGTCTTTGTATCTACAATGCCTGGAAAATGGTAGGGGCTTAATAAATGCTTATTGATTGCTCATCTTGAAAAAAAAATTTCCTGGCATTCAATGACTAGAATTCGCCTTTCCAGGAGTGTTATATTAGGAGGAGATAGGAAGGGGCACTTTGATTGTAAATTCCATGAGACAGGCACTATTTATTGAAATTGTTTTGCCCTGAGCATCTTGCACAGTTGTCTGCACATAAGAGATGCCTAATGTTGGTTAAATTAAAATACTTTAGTAATTTCTGGGGGGCCAATCAGGGTCACCAGTTTTGCTAAATATAGTTAATACTGTTACTTTTATCCTTCTGCTAGCTCTGCTAATCCCAATTTTCAATTACACTGGTTTTGTCTAGCTTGTCTGCCTGTACTTTTCCACTGCTCTGCTGGTGAATTTATGTAATCTCAGGACCTAAGGGGATGCATTACCAAAAAAGCTATGTTTCATTTTCAGCAGGTATAGAATCATCCCTTTGAGCTGTTCCTTGCTTGTTGTGAGGCATTAATGAGGCTTGGTGATGGTTGGTGAATGTTCTGCAGAGTGATAAAGGAAGCCACCCAAGGCTGCAACTGCCACAGCTGTTTTGTGGGAAGAACACCCATCTGGAGAGAAAGAATAATGTTAGGCTGCCCATCAGATATGCTTTTCATTGCTTCTGAGGGTTGCCATAGTTCCCCACCTTGATGTTATCACTTATTTGTTCAGCTTTAGGCATGGACCTTTAGCTCATGTGTTAATCTGATAAAATTATTTAGTAGAGTTGTTAAACATCTCAAATGGTGTCACCCACATTGTTTTATTCCTTTTAAACACCCCTAGTAAATGTGAGTGAGTCATGACTGGTTCACCATTTCACAGAAGTGAAGAGAAAGGACCTGACTCAGACACACAAAATGAAGATTGTCTTGCTTCTCACTCCCTGTCCCTGTGTCCTTTCTTTTGTTGTCACCAAGCTAAATGAGCTTCTGTTTTTTAAAGATGCATGGTCTTGAAAGGTTCTGGATTTGGTTCACTTTGTTAATGCATCCGACCTTGCAGGAGAGTCCCAGAATTACTAGGCTGCCTTAAGGAGATAGCTGCCTCTCACAACTAAATAAGATCATATCTCTCCAGCAGGTAGGAGGAATTAGTTCTTAATTGGTAATCAGTATTTGGCAGGTACTAGCACTGATAAAGAAAAGTCTGGGGGGGGGCGGAGCCAAGATGGCAGAGTGAAAGTAGTGACTTGCTTGAGCTCTCCCCCAAACCCCCCCAAATACTCATAAAAAATGGCTCTAAACAAATTCTGAAGCAGCAGAACCCACAAAAAGACAGAGTGAAACAAATTTCCAGCCCAAGACAACCTGGATAATTGATCAGAAAGGTGTATCGTGCCGGGCTGGGAGCACAGCGCAGCGGGGCGTGGGCGCGCAGGCCGCAACAAATCTGGAGCCGACCTCAGAGGACTGAATCTCGGGCAGCTGTGGAGGTTTCCAGACTCCTCAATCCACCAATGCCAAAGACAACTGAGAAGGTCAGTGGGAAAAGTCTGTTTCTGTCGGTGGTCAGAGAGGAAGGTGGGGTTTCAGTTCCATTCCCCAAGAGCGTGGCAGCTGCTTCCCGAGCTTCCTGCCCACAGACTGAGGGGGAATCCAGTGGCTGATCAGAGAGGGATTGCAGGGATCTCTTTGCCAGTGCTGAGGCAGGAATCTCTTGCTTTGCCTGTGTGTGGATCTGGGTCACAGTTCTGGGCGGCGGTGCTGGGGTGAGGAGGAGCGCTGGCGTGGTGGTGCTTGTAGTGGCTGTAGAGAGGAACCCCTCCTCACAGTTAAGGGACAGAAAGGAATACTTGTGGTTACAGGCCAGGAAAGGAGTAAACACCTCACCCCTTATCATACCACCTTGGAAGAACTGAAAATTTACAGGTCCCTACAAGTATCTCTGAAAACAGCTACACAAACCCCTGAAGCTTGGGACAGTACACTCTCCACATTGGAAGCAGACTCTTACCTTAACAAAGAGTTTAAAACTCAAGTAATTGGCTGGGATCATGAGCAAGCAGTGCAAAAAGAGTCAGACTATATTATCTTACTTTGGTGAAAAAGAAGATCAAAATATACAACCAGAAGAAGACAACAAAGTCAAAGCTCCTACATCCAAAGCCTCCAAGAAAAATATGAATCAGTCCCAGGCCTTGGAAGAGCTCAAAAGGGATTTTGAGAAGCAAGTAAGGGAAGTAGAGGAAAAACTGGGAAGAGAAATGAGAGTGATGCAAGAAAATCATGAAAAACAAGTCAACAGCTTGCTAAAGGAGACCCAAAAAAATACTGAAGAAAATAACACCTTAAAAAAACCTAACCCAAATGGCAAAAGAGGTCCAAAAAGCCAATGAGGAGAAAATGCCCTAAAAAGAAAAATTGGCCAAATGGAAAAGGAAGTCCAAAAGCTTACTGAAGAAAATACTTCCTTAAAAATTAGGATAGAGCAATTGGAAGATAGTGACTTTATGAGAAATCAAGACACTGTAAAACAAATTCAAAAGAATGAAAAATTAGAAAACAATGTGAAATATCTCATTGGAAAAACAACTGACCTGGAAAATAGATCCAGGAGAGAGAATTTAAAAATTATTGGACTATCTGAAAGCCATGATCAAAAAAAGAGCCTAGACATCATCTTTCAAGAAATTATCAAGGAAAACTGCCCTGATATTTTAGAACCAGAGGGCAAACTAGGAATTGAAAGAATCCACAGATCTCCTCCTGAAAGAGATCCCCAAAGGAAAACTCCTAGGAATATTGTAGCCAAATTCCAGAGTTCCCAGGTCAAGGAGAAAATATTACAAGCTGCCAGAAGGAAACAATTCAAGTACTGTGGAAACACAATCAGGATAACACAAGATTTAGCAGCTTCTACATTAAAGGACCACAGGGCATGGAATATAATATTCCAGAGGGCAAAGGAGATAGGATTACAACCAAGAATCACCTACCCAGCAAAACTGAGTATAATCCTTCAGGGAAAAAAATGGTCATTCAGTGAAATAGAGGACTTTCAAGCATTCCTAATGAAAAGACCAGAGCTAAACAGAAAATTTGAATTTCAAATACAGGACTTGAGTGGAACATGAAGAGGTAAACAGGAAAGAGAAATCTTAAGGGACTTTTTAAAGTTGAACTGTTTACATTCCTGCATGGAAAGATGATATTTGTAACTCATGAGAACTTTGTCAGTATTAGGGTAGTTGAAGGAAAAAAATTGTATGTATGTATATATAGATAGATAAATAGAGGGCACAGGGTGAGTTGAAGATTAAGGGGTCATATCTGGAGAATAAAATTAAGGGATGAGGGAGGATGATACTCAGAGAAGAAAGGGAGAGGTAGAATGGGGTAAATTATCTCATAAAAAAAAACAAACAGAAAAGAAAAGTCTCTCACAGTGGAGGGGAAACAGGGGAAGGTGAAAGGGAATCTTATTCTCATAGGATTTGGCATAAGGAGGGAATAACATACACATTCAATTGGGTATGGAAATCTGTCTTACCCTACAGGAAAATAGGGGAGAAGGGGACAAGAGAGCAGGGGGGTGATAGAGAGGAGGGCAGATTGGGAAAGGGGGTAATCAGAAGTAAATTCTTCTGAGGAGGGACAGGGTCAAAAGAAAGAACAGAATAGATGGGAGGGCAGGATAGGATTAAGGGAAATAGAGTTAGTTTTTCCCAACATGTCTACTAAGGAAGTGTTTTGCATAACTGCACACGTACAACCTACCTAGAGTTGCTTGCCTTTTCAATGAGGGTGGGTGGAGAGGGAGGAAGGGAGAAAATTTGGAACTCAAAGTTTTAAAAACACGTTTTTAAAAAAATGTTTTCACATGCAACTGGGAAATAAGAAATACAGGAAATGGGGGTACAGAAGTCTATCCTGCTTTACAGGAAAATAGAAGGAGAAGGGGATAAGAGAAGGGAGGGGGGAGAGATAGAAGAGAAGGCAGACCAGGGGAAGGGGTATTCAGAATGCATGCCATCTTGGGGTGGGGGGAGGGGGGAGAAATTTGGAACTCAAAAACTTGTGGAAGTGAAAAAAAATAAAAACAAAATCAAAGGCAAAAAAAAAACTTTAAAAAAAAAGAAAAAAAAAGTCTGAGGGCCTTGTGATGGCTTCCCCATTGCTAAAACCTATAAAATTGTTTCAGTCTCCTTTCTTATCACCACTTGCAGGTGGAGGGTGTTGATGAGAAGCTAAATAGCTAAAAGAGAGAAGGAGAGAATGGAAGGGTTTGGCTAATCACACCCTAGGTAACTGAGAGTAAAATGTACACTGACATGGTAGGAGAATACCCAGAAGAGTGGATCTATCTTGCTCTCTGCTTGCCCCTTAAACTTAGGGAGGCATTCTTAAGAAAAGAAAAATAAATAAACTAAATTCCACCTAAAATATGAAAAACAAGAAATTGCAGCAAGTCTATCAACTCTGATATCACTAACCCATTTTTTCATTTTGTAGCCCCAAATTAACATCTCCTTTTAGTCTTCTGGACCACCTGACATGGGTGAAGGAAGCCAGGGCTCTTCCCTAGAAATATTTTCTTTTTCCTGAAGAATGTAATCCCAATGTGCATTTTCAGAAGAGCAAATGCAATTTATGCCTATTAAATTGTCATGTATTTCTGTTAGTAAAATATAGGGCATCTCTGCAGAGGATAATGTGTGTATAGGGAGAGGTGACTAAGTATAGTGCCAGGCTTTTCCCACTTGTCTTCTGGGCACTGGAAAGACATCCCATTAGCTTTTGATGGTTTTACCTGAAAATCCTTTCTCTCTCCTCTTAACTCTTCTCAATGATTGCTGTTGGTCTTCACCAACTATGGGTAATTGTTTTCTATTGTCATCTGGGGACAGAAAAAAAATAGAGAGGAGCATCAGGTGAAACTCTTTCAACTGAGTTTTCACAAATGTCTCCTGCCATCCCCCATCCTCATTTCCAACAACCCTATCCTGTTGTGGGAGATTTCTTGAACCTGAAGGTGCTGAGTTTGTGGTTTCTCTCACTCCTGACTGTGTATGCCAAGTGCTTTAGAAATGGGAGTTATCATTATGTTTATTCCATCAATTCTAGAGTTCCTGCTACTTCTCTCATAAGATCTCTTTCTTGCAAACTTCTCTTAGATGCCCAAATCCTTTTTTAGGACCCTGAAGGCAAATGATCTCAACTTAGAAACCCCATTGCAAGGCCTTTAGCTCAGTTCTTTGCTTTCCTGCCAGTGCTCTGTACTCCTCTTTTTTTATACTGTGTCTCTTCTGTTCCTTGGATGGAGACCACGAACACTAAGAGTAGTGACAGTATATTCCTAGCATTCAGTAAAATTCCCTCCATCGAATATTATAAGTGTTTTGAGGTTAGCATGACCTCAATATAATATTTTTCATCTTTGCAAAATCACCAATGAGTTGCTAATGCATTTTCTTCTGATGGAACATGGCAGACTGCATTTTCATCTTGTCTAACTCCTCAACTTCCCTACCACCAAGCTAGTCATCTATATTCACAATGCTTCCCAAAGCATCCCTCCTTAGGTTTCTGCCAGGTAAGAATAGCCTGTAGCCATCTAGGCTTGTAGAAATCTGAGTATCCAGAAAGTCCACAGAACATGACTGAGGAAAAGAACATGAAATTAATTGTCTTGTGAAATATCCTGGGTGCCTTTGGCAGTCTTCCCCACCTCTTTTCCCATTGTTATGCCTGCTATATCCTCAGGGGTCAGTACAAACCTGAGCAGAGTTGAGGATATTGAGCCACTGGAACTCTTGGCTGATAGGGAAGAGTAAAACTGCATCTTTGCTATAGGAACAGGGGTTCAATTTTGAGGTTAGCATGACCTCAACAACTGAAAGCTTCAATGAATGTTGGATAAAGTCATAGGTCATTTGGGAGATGAAAACATTTGATGGGATTTGGGCTTCCAAACTAAAGAACTTCTACCATTCCAGCTTATTTTATCCCTGACCCAAAGATGAGGGACTGATATCCCTCAGTCACTGGAGAGTTCAGACACTCTGTCTGCATTTTTGGGGAGGGGAATTGTGAATAAAAGAAGTTACAACTATCATCAAGAATGGTGTGTGTGTGTGTGTGATAAAACAGGAGGATTATGTGCACTTATCTGCAGAATGGAAAGCAGTTCATACTATTTTCCATGAAGAGATCTCAATTGAGAAATAGCAATCCAACTTCTTCAGTTTTCAAATTCAGTGCCATCATATTAGCACAGAAAATATCCATGTAGTATTTGGATTGGAGGAACAGGCCATCTGAGCATCCTTTCTAGGGACCAGAGGACCAGGGAGCATTGAATTTCATTTTGGTGGCAGGAAGGAGTAGCAATTAAGAAAAAAAGTGTGATTTTGAATGGACCTCAGATATTGTCAGTGCATGTAAAATGAAGGCTTTTGCCAGGATTCTTTCTGCATGAATCTTACAACATGTATAATTGGAACTCTAATTATAATTCTTTCTAAGATTCACCCCCTGTTTGTTGTCTTCTGGAACAACAGCTATAGTAGGCTCTGAGAGATCAGTAGTCCAATGACCCAGATGCCATCTACTCACCTACTCATTTCCATTTTTATCAAGTATAAATATTGAGTCCTTCCTATGCCAAGTGAGTTCCTGAATTCTTAAAAGTGTTTTGAATACTGAACTGAACTCTTTAGAGACAACTGTCCCTACTTCCAATTTTGGATCAGAAGCATCTCACAGATATACAGCCAAGTAAGGAAGGCAAGGAGACATTTTTTGATACCTCTAGTCACAAAAATAGTGCAGAGAATCTTCCTGACAAATGAAGATACAAATAATTAGGAATTAGACTACAATTTCAATCTGAAATCTGTAGGTGATTAGCAAATAAGAGCCATGTGCCTTGAAGATCAGGGGGAAAAGCCATGGGCAACAGGCTATGTCCCAAAGAAAAACAGCCTATTCTTCAGGCTCCAATAAAACATTGTCATATATATGGTTGTAGCTGGATGGCCTCCTGGTCAACACTATCTAAATTTGGTACTATCTGGCCTTCTGAAGCAATCTTCTAGACCATGAAATAGTCACTTACCATTTTGGCAATCAGGAAATAGAGGAGCTGGTGTGACAGTGTATAGCCCATGCAGCCAGGCTTAGTCATGAGTTCCCTGCAGATGTCAGTGATGGCACAGGGCTGCAAGCCCTCCTTCCTGAGGAGCAAGCAGTCCCAGGTTGTTATTTGGATAAAACAATGAATGAAGGTCAGGAGAACTGTAGGCCTGGTGACACTGACACAGGTCCTTATTGCCTTTCAGAGAATTGGTCTTGAGCTTCAAAAGTATATAGAAATGGGAGGAATTTCTGTGAGGAGTGTTTGTATATTATCAGTGGGGCAGCTGGTGGTACTTTTCTATCAGGGAAGAAAGAAAAAGGGCAATTAAACTCACTTGGTCCCTAGTAAGAGGGCCATGTATGAATCACTTAATCTTTCTGAAAAAGGATGTGAGTTGGAGTAGATCATGGAGTAGATCATGGTGGTGTTTGTTTGACTCCATGAATGAGGGAGATTCCAAAACCCTGGCTGTAGAGTCTTGAAATTCTGTCAGAGTGAATTGACCAGTAACACAGTAAGAGAAAGCAATTTTACATAAATCTGATACCAGATTTCCATCCTACTGATGCCTTGGACATACATAACCTATTCCCAAATTTCTTGTACCTCACAAACGTATGGCTAGGGTCTTTTAACCTTCACTAACCACTTGAGAACTGGAGTTGAAATAATTCAGAAAATACATTCTCATCAACAGGAAGAGACCCCTACTGTCAGTCAAATAAATATTTGTTAAATGCCTACTATGGTAAGACATTGTGATAAACACTGAGGCTACAAAGAAAGGTGAAAGACAGACGTGGCCCTGGAGGAACTCACAATAAACCCCAAAGAAGAGCATTACTGATGGATGATACTTAATTTTCTCTAAAGGATGAATAAACAAGTGCTTCTGGTTTGGTTAGAAAGTGAGGGAGTCTTATTAAGACCTAGCCACAATTAGAGTATCTGTACAGAATGTCACACAATGACCTGTCATTTAAAGATAAGCTTCTACTGTGGCACCATTTCTCCAGGTAGAGAGACCTGGAGATGCCAGAGGGAGCTTTTTGGAGTCAGAAAGGACTGTGAAAGGAGACACTTTCTGCTAATTCCTCTCAGTTGAGCTCCTGTGTGCTTTGTAAGGAGGCTGGATGGCAATTTGTCTACTCAACCCCCTAGGTTTGCCAGAATCATTCAAACAAGAGAGAGTAGTTTCCCTAGCAAATAAACCTCCTGACTTGCACAATATTTACCTTTGAAGTACTTAGAGTCACTGAGCTTGAGGTAGATTGTGGCTCTGGTGATGAGTGGTAACAATTTCTTCACTATCTTCTCTACCCTCAGGCTCAGGGGCTTCAGGGCAGGCTCCTGGCCCCATTTCTCCAAGACACCTTTTAGTTGTACTGTGAAGGAACATGACAGGCCTGTGAATCAGGTCTAGACCCATTGGTGTGCTTTGGCTCCTCTTATTCAGAGAAATGTGTCTGAATCTCATCCCTGTGCATTATTTAGGCAGAGGCTACTGCCCCCAAATCCTGCTATCATTGTTCCAGTTCTTTCTACCAACAATGAGGTACTACTACTCCCTCTTTATAGGTGGAACTGGGATTGGAAGAACTGGGGGACTGGAAACAAGGTAGCTTCAGCCCTTAATTTTCTCTGCTATGAGCCAAGGCAAATCTCTTTCTGAACTCTACCCATTTTCCTCAAGATTAAGTCCCCTTCTCTCTTCACTGAGGTGTTCTGGGAATGAATGAAGTCATTAAAGGGAATCATATGTATGGAATTTTGTAGTTTGTGGAGGATTAGATCTCTAGAAAGTTGAAGAATGAAATGGCCATAGTAGAAGAGCTCAACTAAAATCTGCCTGAGGCTACATTAAAAGAAAAAAATCGAAGGGTCTAGAATAATTGTTGTGTGTCCCAGAGGAGTAGGGAAAATGGTGATAGGTATTTCCCAGGGTTGCAATTTTTTCCTTTCTCCTCTTAGTCATTAACATGGTCAAAAAATACCTACTATCCTCCCACCTTTCTCAGTAAGAATTAGAGATGAGTACTTTCCCCTTCATCCCAGGGTCCCAATACTAGGGTCATTTTCTTGCTAATCTCTTAGGTTTGGGATAGTAGGTGAGAAGAGCCTGCTGGGGAAAAAAAATTAATTGTACATAGTATGGCCCAAATCCAGACCCCATGGATATAAGCAAATCTGCTTCAAACCCTAGCAACATCATCTCCTAGGATTTTCTGGCACCGCAAATTCCAGTTGCAGGAAGGCTGAGCTGGCAGCCAACATGGAATAGGATTAAGAAGGGCTCCCATTACCTCCAGTGGGAGGATTACTTTTGTAGGTAGAAGCCTAATGGAAACAATCCTAAACCAAGATCTTGAGACCCAGGCTGTTTTCTCCCTTAAGAATAGTTATTACCATTCTAAGGGGTGATGACTGACCCCACACCAGAGTGGAGTTTTCTCTCTGTTTGGCTTGGCCTTTCTCCAATACATTATCATCAGACTACTTTCCCCTTCCAAAGCTGAACAAACACGTCATCCACTTTCCCAGAACCTCTGAATGTCTTTGATTATAATACATTGTGAGCTGAGGTTAGAGTAGAGGAACAGTTTGCCCACAGGTGATTGAGTAAATTAATAGAAATGTTTTTGTTTAACTCTCTATTAAACAAGAATATTATTTCCTGCCTTGTTTTTACAATGAGGAAAGAAAATGAGCCATAGAGACTGTTTGCTTTGGTTTGGGAAGCTGGGCTATAATGTTCTTTAGGCACCTGTGCTTTCAAAATTTTTTTCTTCCGTGTTTAACATAATTCTTTTCACTTCTAAAAACCGAAGAGGTGTAAAGCAACATTTTCCCTCCAGGTAGGCAGAGGCCAAATGAGAAAAATAAAACCCATACTCTTCCTGAATTACCAAAACATAAAGTTCAGCTTCAGCTAATCTCCCATGCCTGACATTAGCATATGAGTAAAAACAATCTTCATTGTTAGCCTGTGGAAGAGAGGAAGTCACACTACCTTCTAGTACCCAGAATCCCATCACTCCATCCAGGTTAAGCTCCCTGAACCTCTTCGCCATGAATGAGGTGGCTTTCTCCAGGGCAGGAAGGATCATCCTCCCCATGGCCACCTTGTTCTCTGAGAGGTCCTGTTGTTGGAGAGATAGGGGTGGCAACAGCAATGGCGGCAGCAGCAGCCCCAGTAGGTACATGTCTTAGTTGCCTACACTAGCCAAATGTTCACAGCAGTTCCGGTACTGGATGCCTCATATACTCTCTTTCCTCTCCTCTCTTCCTTCTCACTGGACGGAAAAGGCACAAAGACTTTTCCTGTTATAGATAAGCAGATAAGTAAGTGCCCACAGAAGGGTTGCTCTGCACTCTAGAGCAGCTGATTTGGTACTGGTTCTGAAGAGTGGGTAAAGGACCATGCAAAAAATGTGCTGAGTATGGCTTTGCTGAGAGTTTAGGACCTCTGGGGAGCTCAGTATGACTGGCTGAAGTGGTAGCTGGGGTTAGTGGCTCAGGATTACACTTCTACCAAACAGTTTGGAAATCCTTAGGCACAGCATTTAGAGGAGATGGTAGCTGCCCCACAATATCATGGCAAACAATATTGTAAACATTAATCATGGGGCAGCTAGGTGGCAGCAGTGGATAGAGCACCAGCCCTGAAGTCAGGAGGACCTGAGGTCAAATCCGGCCTTGGACCAAACACTTGACAGTAGCTGTGTGACCCTGGGCAAGTCACTTAAACTCAATTGCCTAACCCCCCCCTCCCAAAAAAACCAAACCCATTAATCATTCAGAAATAACGTGTGAATTGTTACGGCCTTAGTTCAGCCAAGGTATAGTCTCTCTGTCCTGGAGTAACCTGTGAAAGGGGAGTCTAACATCAGGTGATCAGAGAAGCACTTGGTGTTCTTGTATTTAAAAGGTTTTTATTTATCCAGGACATAAACAGGCCTATTAAAAATAACTTTCTTGGGGGCAGGTAGGTGGCGTAGTGGTTAGAGCACCAGCCTTGGATTCAGGAGAACCTGAGTTCAAATCCGGCCTCAGACACATAACACTTACAAGCTGTGTGACCCTGGGCAAGTCACTTAACCCCAAATTCCTAGCCAAAAATAAAACCAAACAAACCCAAAACTTTATTTTATTATGCCTAAGTTATCCGTTTATTAATAAGGAAAGATGTTTCCATATTAATTGATATGAGGGCCCCATCTTCCTCACCTGTAAAATAAGGGAATTGAACTCCATGATCACTAACATCTTTTCTAAAATTCTGGTTCTAAATGGACTGTATGAAAACGAGTGATTTGAGTTTTTTTTGTCTGGTTTTTTTTTTGGGTGCATTTTTTGTTTGTTCATTTCCTCTCCTTTTCTTCACAGATAATGTCTAATATATCAAGGTCATGCTTTCTGATTATGGCTTCCACTTCCTCTTGGCCCAGGGTCTCTAGTGAATTATAATATTCTATAGCAAAATGTACCATTTGCAAATTTAATGTTTCTCTGAAAATGTCCTTGACATTTTTCTTTATGTTTTTTACTCTCCTTTGAATAGAGCCTTGAAGAGAAATTAAAGAATTCATTGGATTAAGAGCTGCTACTGAATATTTTGCAGAAGGTAAAAAAACCTCCATAGATTTTAATGCCATCTCACTTTGAGAAATATCCAGGCAGAGTGAATCTCTGCAAGGAATGTGCTGCCACCTGGCATGTCAGCAGCAAGCTTTCTGTACCCTTTAAAAACACAAACTTAAAAAGAAGTCATTTGTATCATCCTGTATTGGGATGTCAGCACAATAGACAGTTTAGGATGCCTTGTTTCCATGGATGAAGCTATCAGAATATATAAAAATACACTAGAGAGGAGGGAGCGAATGCATTTTTGAAACTGTCTGCAACAAAAAAAGATGACAGGTGCTACGTATTCTTCCAGCTTTTAAAATAGCTGGCTTAATAGATTTTTAAAATTCACCTAGAAACTTAGGAGACAGAGACTACACAAGTATAAAAGTACAGTGCTTTACTCAAATGTAAGGAGATATGCCTTGGCCCTGTAAACTCTAATTTTGGTCCAGACCTGTGATGGCTTTTGTGTTGGGTACTCAGGCATGGAAACTCTCTTCACCTCATGGCAACCCATCTAGAATTTGTAGCCTCAGAAAACTGCCTGAGCCAAAAAATTAAAGGGATAGTTTTAGAGAAAACTAGAAACACTTGTATGAACACTAAAGAAGAGTAAAGTGAGTAGAAGCAAGGGAAAAATTTATACTCATAACTCTGCTACATATCTATACATACATATATATGTGTGTGTGTATGTATATATACATATATATACATACACACACACACACACACACATATATATATATATATATATGTATATATATATATATGTTTATAACTGCAATGTAACCGTACATATACTTTAACATTTTAGAAATGAACAATGTTAAAAGACAACTTTGGTTAATGCAGTGATCAACCATGATTCCAGAGGACCAGTAAGGAAGAATACTGTTCACTTCCTGGTGAGCAGAACAGTGACACAAAATGAGACACACTTTTGCACATGGTCAATATGACAATTTGTCTTGTTTGACTATGACTGATTGTTAATAGGGTTTTGGGGGGGGTATTTTTTGGAGGGGAAAGGAGGGAAGAGGTAGGATGGAGGGAAGAGAAAACAAGTTGTTAACTGGGAAACAAAAAAGTTGCCTAGGGTACTAAGATTATGACTTGCACATGTTCATGGACATAGTATGTGTCAGAGGAAGCTCTAGAACCCAGGTCTTCTTGACTCTGAAGCCTGCCCTCTATCCATTATGCCATGCTACCTCTACACCATGTAGATGTGAGGTATAAATTTAGGCTTGTTGTATGAGCTGCTAGATATAAAACCTTTGCCTAACCTGCACTGAAGAGTTTACTCTTGTTTATATAGTGGGAGTATAAATCACACATAGTATACAGACTTTGTTTTTTATTTCGTCTTACATTTATTTTATGTTGTCTTACATTTGGAAAAAAAGATGAGATTAACATTAGGAAAAACACATTGAAAGAATGGGAAAAGAGGAAAAAGATGAAAATAATAAATAGGGAGGAATAGAAATTGGGCTCAGCAATTTCCCTAAGAAAAATAGAACTATGCTTTTTTTTTTAGAGTCAATATAAAGTGTTTTATTAGCAAACTAAGTCTTTTCACTTAAATCCCCCAGCCTTGCTTTGTCTTCTTGCTCCTCTAGCCTTGTGCTAGTGTCTAAAATGGGGCCTTTTGAATACCAGGAAGCTGGGCTTTCCTGGACTCTGGAGAGAGGCCTGGGAACTTATCAGTTAGTTGCTGAGACCACGTGAGTACCTGTCTCTACCTCACTTGGTCTCTAAGGCCTTTGGCCTTCAGCACAGGCCCAGATGTCCCAGGTTTTAGGAGCCTCCACTGTGGACCCTCAGTCTTGAGCACTGGCTTTCAGAGCAGCTTTGTACTGGCCAGTCATCTCTTTGAGCAAAGGCACAATGGCTGGGCAGGGGACCTGTTCTTCCACTTCCCAGACACATTCCCGAAGGCAGTATTTCTGGGGTCCAAAATTAGCTGGGTGAGAAAGCTTCTTTTTCTCTAGCTCCTCCATCTTGAGGACTTCCTTATTTTTCCCCAGGATCTTTTTAAATGCTGCACGATCTCTTTGTTGCTCTTGTCCTCCACATCCACCAGAACCTGTTCACCAGAATCTAAATTAAACCGCAGAAATGGTGATGGCATCATGTTCTTGAACATTGTGTTCTGCACCTAAGGGTTTTTGTACTGAATCTGAGTAATGTTGAAAAACACAAATTTCCTGGCTCCCTCGCTCAGGTGTGGTAATTCATGGTCATCCCCAAGCTGTTAAACACGACTGCGCCCTGGCTCAGGTACTGCTGGGTCCGGCAGATGGGGAAGTGCCCCCTTCATGGGCATCGCAGCAGCAGCCGGCTGTGGAGCCAGAGGGTCCACCAGGACGGCACTTTTAGTTTCTACTTGGAATTCTCTTCTCACAGATGAGACGTTTATATAAGGAAAAATAAATGAAAAACTGATTAAAAGCTTACCAGGAGCCAAACACGGGGTATGTAAATAGGAAAATGGAGCCATCCTCTGTTCTCAAAGAGCTTACGTTCTTATTGGAGAGAAACAATACATGAGGCAGGTGGAAAGGCCTTAAAATCTAACGGGCAGGTGAGGAGGGTCAGGCATTCTTAGATTTCAAGACATGGGTGCATTCTGGGCCAGATGATAAGGCCTGGTGGCCTTCTGTCTTAGAAGAGATAGAGTTGGTGACTCTTATTTCATCCAAGTGAGGTGAACAGTCAAGCACGCTAGATGGGTTCTGGGCAGCAGAAAGCAAGGAAGAGGGAAGACGGTAGAAGGAAGGACAGGGAGACAGCTTTCCTGGTGGTAGCTCCAAAAGGAATAATACCTCAAGCACAGCTGCTTTAAAATGTAGCATTGTCTGAAAGTCTAAGCCAGCAGAAAATAGGACACATCCTAACTGCAATCATATTGCATCGCATTCTCTGCCAAATAAGATAGTTTGCTAAAGCTATAATCTCTTAATTGCACATATCTGTAGATTTGCTAAACTGCAGATTTGATTCATAGTTTTTTGATTCACTGGCAGCCCTAAGTAAATCTGGACAGTGCTTTTGGCTCTGGCCAGAGGACAGTGTTTCTCCAGATATTTTGGTAGGTGTTTTTAGTCCTGTCCGACTCTTTGTAACAACATTTGTGGTTTTCTTGGCAAAGAGATGAGTGGTTTGGCATTTCCTTTTCCAAGTCATTTTACAGAAGAGGAAACTGAGGCAAACAGAGTTAAGTGATGTTTCCAGGGTCACACAGCTAGTAAATGTTTAGGGCTAGATTTGAATTCAGGAAGATGAGTCTTCCTGACTCCAAACCCAGCACTTTATCCACTCCTCCCATTCTCTGCATATAGAAACACTTTTCTCAGCATTCCTTTCTCCTGTGAGATAGATATTTCTTGGAATGTTACTTTTTAATTTTGAGTCAGTCTTTTGAGTGTATCAGGTATGGTTATGGTTATAACCATATATGCCCACCCTCAATTCTCCTCCAAATCAATGATCAATCTACAGGAATGTATTAAACTCCTACTATGTGGTCAAGTACATTGCTAAGCACTGAAAATACAAATACAAAGGT